CTGATACTCACATCACATGGCTATCGTTGACACCTAATTAGCACTTATTGTTAACAGGGGGTGGAGTGATACTGGCAATCTCTTGGAGAAGAGACGAAACGTTTCATTAGAGAAGAACCCGTCCAGAAGAGCTACACAATTTTTTTCTTTTTGATTTTTTACCTGGATTACTGAGATGCATCAGGACTTTCAATGGAAAACAATGATGCTGAAACTGCATCTTGTAAAATRTGCAAACTGGATGTTTCTCGTGGTGGGAACAGCAGGCCTCGCTTTAATACTACCAACCTTGTCACTTAGAAAGAAATAAAGCTATCAGATTGGTATCGGATCGGTATCGGAAAGACTAATTTAAAAAATTGGATTGTATTGGGACATCTGTAGTTACTACTACTACTGGGTTGACTTTAGGTCGTTTTATAAGCCATCAGAAGCAGAGAAAGCGTCTCTCGTTGACATAGTTGCGTTGATAAAATCTGCATTATTTTGTTCTCGTAGCTTCATCAGCTCCTTCTCGACACAAGGCCTGGGTCAGACCTTTTCTCATCAGAGTAAGAGCAGAGTATTGTGTGATTGCTCAAACATAACATTGGCATCATGGCTTTTTATTGTTCTTGTTTCATATAAACAAGAAGCACTTTTAAATATGTCCCAGCACTTTATGAGATCCAATAGAAATGTAACTACTTTAATAAAGCAGAACGAAGGCTGCTGGAGGACGTGCTTCTCCCTCCTGCAGGGTGTCGTTTCTCTGTTGGTGTCAAAACATGGAGGCTGAGGTTTTTGATAACCCTGACAGTGTGAGAGAAAGGTTAGCTAAAACAATTATCAGATGTATTTCCTGATTAAAACCTCTAAAACCAGTTAAATTTCTCGGGCGAAGAACACAAGTGTATGAGGTCTGACTCATAGTAAGCACATTGCCTGGCTGTGTGACCCCAGCATGGATCGGGTGAAGACCCCACACACAGTGTCGTCTGTCAGTTTACGTCTAAAAGTATGAGTTAGTTTGTGACCCTGGGTGTCAGCTCGCTGAAGAGATATTTATATCAGCAGTGACCCAGATCACCATCCTCCAGCACCCTTGATCTGAGTCCTCCTGTGTTCTCCTCTGACTCGACCTCCTGTAACACAAACCCACTGAGGCTGATAGGAGGAGGGTGGTGGTCTCTTTTTCTCTGGAGTTCCTCTGATTAGATTGATTGACTGGTGATATTTTCTTAACGTAGACTGTAGAAACATGGAAACAATCTTCTGATTGATGGACCATCACTCTGGAGCCACAGCTGTCCAAATACATTCTCWTCCTGTCCAACTGATGGACACTGTGATGACGAATAATAGCGTGACAAACACTTCAGAACCACAGGATTTGTTTCTTTTGTCAGAAGTTTCCTGTCATCATAGCTACATCACTTGMGATTTTTTTTTCTATTACAATATCCYGTTCTTCATCAGCTTGACTCTGCTCTTGCAGGGAGGTTTCAGAGCCCAGCACAGCCGATGTGGAACCAGACTCAGAGAGCTCTGTGGCCCAGCAGCCAGCGTCTGGGTCTGAGCCGGAGAGCAGCGAGAGCCGGCTGGAGGAGGTAAGGTCACTGGGAGGACGTCGGTTCTTTTGGGTCTTGGCTCTGTCTCCCACTAACCTGCATCCTCATTCATGTAAGCATGTTGAAGTAGRGTTCTCATTCAGGAAGGAGTCACTCAAATCCAACACTTCTCAGCGTTTTACAGTCAATACARGCTTTAGTACCTTTTCAACCTCGAGCTTTTCACATTCAGTTTAAATTATTTTCATCACATGTCAAAATGACTGACTTTAATTTCTGAATATCAAGGGCTGAGTTGGATTTGGGTCATGGGGGGTTATTGGAATGAACTCACCCCCTTTCATCTGCTTCTGATGCAACTTAAATTTCATAACAAGCTCCTTCACTAGATGATCTCATGCTCACATTCATTGTCTGTCTGGACCATGCAGAGGTATGTTAAYAGCTGGAATGAATGTAGAGTTGGTGGTAATGTTTTTAAATTAGACTTTCATTTTGCATGCTTCATGRATCACTTCCTGTTGATGTGCTGAGGAGAGAAGGCTGCATTGTTACTTAAAGCCCTTTGCATAACAAAGTGGCAGCTATTAATGATTTTATTACCCTAAAACATGTTTTTGTGGTTTATACGATAAATTTGTTACAACTTATTAAAACTAATGATCATTTAGTGGCAGAGAAAATAACTTAAGGCAGCTATATTATTATTATTATTATTTAGTAATTTATGCTGTTTGGTTTATACTTTTACAATTAAATAATCAGCTTTTATGTTTGCAGTAGTGCTGGGTGGTATATGCCGTTTTGTACCGAATACCGTTTTTTATTTTTGCTGATATGAATTTTCTGAATACCGACATACTTTAAATAAATACATAATAAATACATTAAATAGCCTGAACACGTTCAGACGGTTTCGTTGTGGCCGCCAGTGAACTGCTTTCCGGGGAACACTTTTCTTCGCAGCACCGCTATGTGCATTAGCATGCTAATGTTATTGTTGCAGCGGTGTGTGGCGATTCCGCTGCTTATATTGGCTGACGTAAAAAAAAATCCCGTTTTCGTCATCGCTGAATGTATTAAACACATCTTAAGTGATGTGCACGGTTAGATTTAACACGTGACGTTAATATGGAGACGTGGAGATGCATGGAGACTTAAGCGTGGTTCTGTTGTGAAAAGCTGGGGTGAAAAAGTTTTGTAGTGGAATTGATTGACTGGTGTGCAAGGTGAGTCGTCTTGTTAATCTTTATTAAATAACCTAAAACAATAGACCCGATAACAATCTTTTCTTAACCCTCCTCCTTCACAACCGGACCAAAATGCATGACTACTGTCTCCAACCACCAGTCAGAGAAAAGACACTCAGAGGAGGGAAACAGAGACACAGACAGAGGTACAGTAAAAGACAAAAGTCAATAAGCAGTGTTTGTACATTTTATTATCAGCTGACCTGTGATGAAAAGAAAAATACCGTGATATACTGTGAAACTGGTGTAAATGTAGAAAATACTGTGATATAAAATTTTGGTCATATCGCCCAGCACTAGTTTGCAGTATGTTTAGGTGAACTTGTACCTACTTTTATTTGGAGAAAACATTTTCATTCAGATCCCTTTTAGATATAAAATAGCATTATTTTTCATTTCTGTCAAATCTTTGAGCTCACTATCTGATTGAAGGATTTTTAACCGTTTCTGTAGATTATCACATTTAGAACAGCAGCAACAGACAGTACCTGTGAGGATTTTATATCAAGCACTGAATTTCAATTAGTGGTGAGAGCTTATGCTATAGCTGTTTCCAGCATGTCTTTTTGTTGTTTCACTCTTGTGTTTTTGTAGGTTTTGCATCTGCTTTAGGTTTGCATGGATAACAGATCCTGACAGTGTGTGTGGGTAGAGACGCATCGGTTCTTTCTTGTGTTTTTTCTTTACTGTTTTTCATTGTTTCTGCCTCCTCGCGTGTCGCCCCTCTTTCTATTCTTATTTACCCTTCCTACAATATTCTGTCTCTTCTTCTTGTCCTCTTACTTTCCATTATTTGCCTTTTGTATCCAATCATGAACGCTTCTCTCTCACTATATATTTATGGTGTGACTGCTGTTTAAAACCCCATTGATTGCTTTGTTATGAAGGTGCCCATGCCTCTTCCATTGCCCCTATTGGTACCTGCTGCGTACTACTACCACCAACACCACCAACAGCACCTCCTCCGCTCCTCCTACTCCTTCTACAACTACTCCTGTCCCGCTAGGCGAAAGTGCATCGCTGGTACCTGAGTTAGGCCCAGAGTCTGCGACCCCTCGAGGCACCGAGTAAAAGCCCGAGCCTGCAGTGTGTGTTTGCCCTCCATTGACACGCTGAGCCAGCAGGAACTGGGAGCTTGCGTCGGGGGGCTCTGCCCACAGCAGTGGCAGCCATGGTAACGGCAGCAGCAGTTCACAGTTGTCATGGCAACCCGGCCGCAGGGGTTGGAAGCCCACTTGCTGTTTGGAGTGAAACTGGACTGTACTGCACCATGCGGCGACACCCCCCCCCCCCCCCCTCTCGTCCACCATCTTGAGGAGAAACGAGCAGAAAGTTTCACGGTTCAAACATAAATCCATCCCAGGAGTAAAGTGTTTAGCTCCAGTTATGGACGTTAAGGCTGTGAGAGCACACTGCCCTCTACTGGCGCTCTGGAGTATTGACTTTGGACTGACAGCTGCTGCAGTACAGTGATCACTACATGAGGAGTCACATCACTGTTTTGGGGTTTAACGCTTCAAACGTAACCGAGCAAATATTCTCATTGCTCAAGCTGATGGACTAGTTTTAATTTGTTTTGGACAGTTTCATGATTCAGATTGTTTCTGAGAGTGTCACAAAGGTATGGACCTCCACTCGCACCATAAAACATGGAGCTTATGAGTCTGACCATCATCCTTCTGCCTGGAGAAGCTAACCATCCGTCTTGAAAGGACACTGCTAATCTGAGACGGTCCTGATGATTTCAGCACTTTTTCCAGTTTCAATAGACTTTGAAAGGAAACGTGGAGACAGATTGTGCACATACTCTACAAGTCACCACCTCCCTTGTTACTCTAGCCACACAATCTGTGGACTCAGCAAACAAGGCTTGTCCACATGGAGTTTGTGATATTCTGTCTGTTGCTGCTCCTGCTTGGCCCTGGCATCCTGCATTGATTCAGTGTGAGCTCAGAGCCATTAAGGGTTATAATGGCTACAAGGCTTTTTCCCCCACTTCTTGTCTGGATTGTAACTCTACAAAAACTTGGATTTATTTTTCACCATTCAGAGACTGAGACAAAAGACTATTTTAAAATTACTTCAAGTTTTTTTTTATCATTTTTCCTGTGGATCTAGAAATGACTAAAAACAAGAACTCATGTTTGGAACCATAAACACCTGTCAGACACCCTGCTGCTGGTGTCATGTTGATTCAACGCACATCAAGAGACGTTATCCCCCTCCCCTTCCCTCAGCTCCATCAGAAAACATCCAGTGATGCGTTGAGAGCTCTGCGTCACAAGAGACTGAAAATCCAGACAACGCGACCAGCAGTCAGCCGAGAAAAGTCGTCCCAGACAAAAAAAAAAAAGTCCAATCCAGTGATCAGTTCCTGCCTGGTGGTTAATCTGCACTCTCAAATCGAGCCCCGCCCTCACTCCTCTGCCTTCTCTGATTGGATCCTTGTTGCCTAGATACAGTACACACTGTCGTGCGGTTGGGCCATAGTCGAGTAAGGAATCAGGTCTTAAATGGTACCAGGAAATGAATTGTCATTATTCCTCTATTTAAAATGCACTTATAAAGAAATAACAAAGTAATTTAAAACAATAGTTTTATTTTGTAAATGTGAGGAGGGTTTTTTTTTCCTTTAAGTGATTCAGAATTGTAAATTATTAACATGCTTTAAGTTTTAATTGGAAGTTTTTACACTTTAAAACAGAATATTCTTTATATTTTATAGTGTTGTAGCATTTTAGAATGGTTTTATTTAAGTTTAAAGAATATTTTAAACTGTTTGACAAATTTTGCTCAACAAGAACTGACTGTTTTTACTTCTGTTCTCCACCTCTGTTCAACAGCACTTGGTTTTATATATTTACACAAAACATATTCTTATAATGTTGTACACTGACATAATACACTTTGCAAAACTCCAGTTACACACCCACCATCCTGTACTGATTCTATGGAATAAAAACATTTTTTCACTTAACGCACATACTTGTGGTTTGCCCTTAGACACAATTAAAGATTAATTTCAGCCTCTTGAGCAAAGGTGGATGACTCAGACGTGTCGGTCTGTATTGAGCAAACACCCCAGTCTTAAAGTCAGGCCTCTCAGTCTCCGTCCCTCCTCCACCTTTCCCTGTTTGACCTCCTGAGTGTTGTTGCCTGTTTGGGTTTGGACTCCTGGTTCTCATCTTGCCCCGCACCCCTGGGGTTTCTGTATGTTCTTTCTGTCTCCATCTGTTTCCAGAGCACCACTCCTAAGGCTTTTGCCGCCCGCAGGATATCCTTAAGCAGTAAGTATCACACTTATACATTTAAATCGTGGACCAAGAAGAATCAAAACACATCCCATTTGCATTTTTTAAGCACATATGTGTTGGATTTTTTTAAAGGCCTTTTTTATTTTAATGCTATTGATTCATAAACTACAGTTACTAAGATGCACTATTGTGAAATTAAAGTGTGTCCCAGATTTTTGTTTTTGTTTTCAGTTTTTACTTTATAAACTACCCCTGTGCTCTCATCTTGTAGCGTTTAGTGAAATTCATACAACCTAAAGAATACTTTTATTAAAGGGGGTATTATTCAAAATCAGCATTTTTGAGCTTTATATTATGTTATGCCATTCCCTCATCAAAAACATACCCAGAGTGTTGCTTTGACTCATTCATGCATATWWGAGAAATTCTTGAATCTCCTGTAGCCYTGTGGAGCTGCCTAAACACTTYCTGCMACAAAGCCCCGCCTATTTAGACAAAGCTCCTCCCAGGAGCTCAGTCTGCACCTGAGCTCCCACCCTACAGAGCAKCCCTCCCCTGAGGCATTGTTGAAAATGTGCTGAAGTGGGAGTGTCAGAAATGGTAGGAGATTCTTAAAGAGACAGAGACACATTTCAAGGCATTTAGAGGCTATGATACTAAATCAGTTTTATTTTTGATATATACAGTATTTTCATAACAACTGAYGGTAACAGAGTTACTTAACTGTGGTTTAGAATTGAACTATGGGCCTGGAAAATATGTAATRGCTGCCTCTTCCCCCCAATTAAAATGGAGCCACTATTTGTCACCCTTTTATGGTTTTAAGGGACATTTTTTTATGTTTTGCTTCCATTAAATTTATCTGGAAACTTTGAGGTTGCGTTTGATTCTTTGTGGAGGTAAGKTGCTTCGTTGCACCTATTTTTATCCAGCGTTCATAAATGCAACAAAATGCTTTTCATCTCCTGTGAATTCAAGGTGAAACGAAATAGTTTCACTCATTAAATAAAGTGTAAATTAATCCTGAACTATATCAAATGGAGCAGTTTGAAAAGATACAATATGTAATGATGAAATAAGAGTCCACACAGACTGTAAACAAAACACTAGGTTTAATCCTCCATGGAAACTTGAGTGACCTACATTAAACTGGCTGTAGTTTCTGTTGTTAAATAAATATGGTGAAGTCGTTAACAAGCAGACAGAGTGTCTCGAGACCTGTGGAGAGTTCAACACCATAAACGTGCTAGATTGATATAAATGTTTAATTTTTTTCTATTTCTGCTAATTCTTATACAACAAAGACTGATAATGAATCACTATAAAAACCTTAATTTGAAATGATTTTTATTGCATGTAACCTCAGGTTTTTCTGCACGTTTTCAAGTTTAAAGTATTCCTTAAATAAACTGCATTCATAACATTGTAGCTAACAGCAGCAAATGTGTAGCAATTACAGTAATTATATTCTTGAATTACCTTTTATTTAAATAATCGGCAGGATTACTCATTGAAAACAGGCGTTGCTACTGTTCAGGTACGAAGGCTTGCAGTAACTTGTCTGTTGATTTCTGATCACTGTAGAGTAAAAATCTCCCCAAATTTTCCACGCTGAACTGTATAATTTTCTTCGCACCCGCAGGCAGCAAGGCATCTCCAGCCAGAACAGATGGAGGAGCGGCAGAGCCCGACACGGGAAATGCGGGAGGGAGGAAGAGGCGATGGGGCTCGAGCACAGCAGTCACCGTTAAGAAACCGTCAATAAGCATCACCACAGACTCACTGAAGGTACTGACAACTGAACAAACATCACGATCTGGCTTTTTGAAGAAGCAGTTTAGAAATGGAGGCTGTATAAAACCTATTAATCTTGTTTTTAAAAAGTAACGACTCGTTAAAATGTGTGGTAAAGCTCAGTTTGAACTTTAGACAGTGAAAATAATAATAATAATAATAATAAATTGTTGCCTAACTGGTCGCCTCTGCCCTTCAGTCTTTGATTCCAGACATCAAAGTGAACCAGGAGGCAGTTGTGGACCTTCATCCCGAGGAGCTGCAGTTGTCTGGAGACGAGGAGAACATGGACACCAGTCGAGGCGACCCAGACAAAGGCCTCAAGATCCGACGCACAGTCACTCAGGTGAGGGGGGAGAGCACTACGATGCTCAACYCTTACAGTCTTTAAAGTGCCTGTGATATGCCTATCCTTCAAATAGTCAAAGAAAACATCTTTATACTTAATAAAATTTGCATAGTACAGATTATTTTATTCATTTTGTCACATAACTGGCCTAAGTTATTTTGAATTTGGCTAAGCCAAAGTGAAACAGGAAGTGACATCAAAGGGCAACTGAAATGAACTCTCTGGTTTTTACTTATTAAAACAAAATTATTTAAACTTTAACTCTTCTTCATCTTTCTTTGATAGCGACTGAAACTCTCATGGCACGTTCACATCGAACGCGTTTTGAGTGGCAGGAGCGGCCGTTTCTCATGCAAAGTCTATGGAGGAGGTGCCTCTAGGGGTCGTGCGTCACGTCACGTACGTTTTGGGCGGCGCGCAAGGAAAGCGGAAGGGTCGCAGAGCGTTTTCCGCYCATGAAGTGCTGRGGAAGTCGCCGCCGCCAGAGTTCAAATATCTGAACTTTTCGCCGCTCGATGRGTCTCCCACTGAAAACCGAAACAGACGGACTGGAGATTTTTACCTGAAATCGACCTTGTGCAGTTGGATTTTCTGGCAGGATATATCAGCACCGATGTGGATCAGCTGCTCGMGACCAAAAAAAAAAAAAYAAAAAAGTCAGTCAGTTAATTATCTGCTGTGCGCAACGTTCGCTTGCTTTTTAGTAAAAAAAATCAAAGCCATTATCTTTTATTTTATCTTTATTTCACCCGCCGAGGACARGCTCCTCCCACACCTCGCTGCTGCTGCTGCTTGTTCTGGTCTGAACACTAGTGCGTTCTTCGGTCTGAAAATAGTGCYTCCAACGAGAGACGTTTTGCGCTTTTTGGCCGCTCAAAACGCGTTCGGTGTGAACGTAGCATAAAGATACATCAGATTCTTGTCTACAGTCTGTGTTGTAACAACGCTCTGTTTACATTCAGACATTCCCCTGTTGCTTCACATGTAAACATCTCAACAACTGTTTATCTCAGCAGCGTGAAATTTGTTTTGCAATAWGTTATCAATGTTATCTTTCCAAAAATGCATTCATGTTTATTAAGAAAAATTGATGTCACAGGCCCTTTTAAGGTTTAAATCTCTTTAATGTTAACGAACAGAAACCTGAAGCTGAGGTTGGTTTCAGGTTGTTCCAAGCGACAGCCAGGAAAACGGCCAGACAAATGAAGAAGACAACGTAGAAGAAGAAGAAGAAGAAGAGGAAGAAGAAGAAGAAGAAGAAGAAAAAGTGGAGAAAACCGAGGCAGAAAAACCACACAGGACATCTAGAGACAAGCGGGGGTCCAGTCTGTCAGTCGAACCCCCAGAACCACAGATATCTGTGAACCTCGATGGAGAGACAAAGAAAGGTAACACTTTACATATTTATCARTCAGGTGGATTATACTCCTAAATACCCACAGCCGACACGTGGCGACTGCTGTGAGCATTTCAGGAAGTGAAATTTTACACAACTGATGTAGTCATTGCAGTGTTCAATAATTATATAAGTATTATATTATATTGTATGTTTTCCTAAAACAGTTCAGCTCTGTTGTCAGTCATGCTTACTTTTTCTTTTTTTCTTTAGTTACTCCCAGCGACAGTCTGATTCGCCGCTCTATAAGTCAACAGAAGTCTGGTGTCTCCGTGACAATCGACGACCCTGTTCGCACGACCAGGCAGCCCTCACCGCCGCGTGGAAAAGTCTCCAACATCATCCACGTGACAAACCTGGTGGGTCACATTTACCAACGTTAAAAACTGTTTTAGACCCATCACATCCAACTGAGGATTAAGTCCAGTCTGGTTWAAATGACCTCAGCGTTTTTAGATTCCTGTGTTTTAAGCTACATTTAGATACCTGCATCATCCTGATATGAGTGGTTCCAGAGATGTGCCTTGATTTGTCTTTCTGATCAGGATAACCCAGTATGGTCTAAATCCTATTTTTAGGTTACTCTAGTGAGGATATTTTGGCGTCATTTTAAAGAGCAACTCAAACAGTATTTGGATGTTAAGATTTACCAACTGGAAAGAAAAAGTTTTGCTAGCTCCCAGGGAAAATTACAAAAAATYTTAAGCTTTCTGTTCAAAATAATGTTTTACTGCTCAAAAAAGTTCAAGATTGRAAATCGTTTAAACAACCTATTCATTTGTAATATTTTGACAAAATGCAATTGTTGCAAACATTTTAACCAAAACACTGAAGCACAACACTAGAAAAGTCTGATGGATGTTTCCATGTTTTATAAACACAGTATATTAGCTCACTTTTGTGATTCTCTGTAGTTTTTTTTTTTTAACTAAATACAAAGTTTCTGTGCGTCATTGTCTGTATTCTTTCAGTATAAAATCTGTTAGATCTTTAATCCTGCGATGGCCAGGTTACACTTCATCACYTTTGTTGAACTGCAAAGCCAGCTTACCTTTTAACATGTTTCATCAGAGGTGGGCTGGCTAAGACCCCCCCTCACCACCTCGATTCATTCAGAAGTCCCACTCTCAGGTGTTTAGTGTCATTATAACTCGGCACAAAGTCTTCTGTGATACTTTTCTCACTGACAAATAAGAATAAATTTATGGTAGAAACCCGCTTTTAATGTTTTGCCAAAGGAGTTTAACGTATCCTTCCTGCACAGAATAAAAGCCCCACATTAATCATGAATGGAGTGTATTGTGTGGATGCCAGTGGTGACCACATCATCACCTGTAATCACTGTCAGGAAAAATAACCCAGGTGTTACTGCTGCAGTCAGGCATAACGCTAACTCAGGGAGCTCGCTGGATGACTAACCAGACRGTGACAAGATGAGACATTACACATTTAATCGCCTCCATTTTCAGAGTTTTTTCTGGCTTGCATCATAGTCTCYAGGCTGGAGGTTGGACTCAGGTGAAAGAGCTGCGACACTTTGATCCTTTCAGTGCAGATTCCTCACAGATTGAATATAAAGGCGTGACTCTTGTGTTCACCACTGTTTAATACCAAAGCTTAGTGATTAAATTGAAGTGGAATGTTGAAAACACTTATTTTTTCTTGATCCTGTTTACTTGTTGTACAAAAGTAGGAGACTTTTGGCCTGAGGGTGGCAGCAGAACAAAGACCAGCTTTATTCAGATTGAATGTGGGAATAAACAGAACTCACAATATTAGAGATTTGCTTCAGTTTGATTACAAAGCTGAATGAAGTGGACTTCTTAACGACAGGAAGTCATTAACGTAAAGAGCTAAACAACATTTAGAGTAGGGCTGCACAAAATGGAAAAAACTACAGCCATTTTTTCCTAACCTGAAATGAAAAATACAGGAGTTTTCAACAAGTTCTGCTGCCATCTTGTTGAKGATGAAGCTGCACCGATCTTACCTCCTTTTTTTCTTACATGTTCCAAGTCTTTGAGTTATTCTTGTTGTTTATTGTTTGTTTTTATTGTGCTGGAACCTGACTACATGTTTCCTTCTATCACGTAAACGTGAATTGCGTTTTAAAAGCAAATAAGTTGCCTCGTTTGTCTCCTTTTAAATTTAGCATTCACGCTACCTGTGTTTTAACTCTCCTCCAGTTCTCTGTGAATTTGCTCATTTTCCTCGTTTTTGTCCAGATCCTCCTCGTCTTCCTCCACATCTCGAGAATTCACTGACAGCACTCCTCTGAAAAAACATTGTCCCAGAAATTTCACAAGAAAATAAAWGTTTTCGCTTTTTTGACACAAACTGACGCAACCCGCCAAAATAAAAGCTGTAACTGTTTTGTGCAGTGACTTATGGTTTAGTGTTTTTTAGTCCCAATATATCTAATCAGTTTATTGCAACATCTTGCTTTAATTTAAAAGCACAGTTTGTAACTTTAASAACTGTTTATTTCTTGCATGTATTTGGCTCACGGTTCTTTATTACGCAGGTACGACCRTTTACCCTGCTGCAGCTGAAGGAGCTGCTGAACCGGACAGGAAGTGTGGTGGAGGAGGGTTTCTGGATCGACAAGATCAAGTCTCACTGCTACGTCACGGTAAGGAGCGATGAACAGAACCATTTTCATCTGTACAAGAAAGAAAATCACACCGCTTCATGTAGGATCAAAGTGCTGAGCAGAAATCATCAAATTCACATGGTGGCTAAACTGTTTTACATACAACTATTTTCATAGTTTTAACTTAATATTGTTAAATAAAGGGAAGAAAATGAAGTTTTTCAGGAAATTTATGTATAAGATCATCAAATTGAAGCCAGTTCTTCAGGTTGTTTTACATCATTTTTCCTTTTTGATCCCTGAACCATAACCCTTTGATCTGTCAGTTTGTGTTGTTTTCTGTCTGCTAACCTCTCTGATCTGTCCTGTCCTCACAGTACACCACAGCAGAGGAGGCCGTCTCCACCAGGACGGCTCTTCATGGAGTCAAATGGCCTGCTAGTAATCCCAAGGTGCTTAATGTGGACTTCTGTGAGCAYGACGAGGTAATTCATGTTGAATAAAATGACTTCTATTTAATAAACATCACCGTTCCTGGGGCTGGATTTTGATGGTTTAGATGAATGTGAATGTTTAATGCTTTTTGTTCTTATCCAAACTAAATGTCTTGTTTTGGGGGAATTTTTTCATTTATTTTTTTAACTTGTTTATCTCCACAGCTGGACTTTCACAAAGGCATCTTGAAGCCCATCCAAGTGGAGGACCCTGTTCCCCAGCCCATTGTTCCTCAGAACCGGCTTCCACCACTGATGCCCGAGCGGGACAAAGACCACGACAGAGAACGAGAGCGGGACAGGGAACGGGAGCGGGACAGAGGAGTGCGGGACCTGTGGGCCGAGCGCCAGCGGGAGATGGAGCGCCGCGAGAAGGCGCGAGGCGAGCGGGAGTGGGACCGGGATAAAGTCCGCGAGTTCGCCAGACCAGGAGAGGACGGGCGACGGTCTCGATCCAGAGAGAGGGAGAGGAGGAGGAGGGAGAGGGCAAAGAGCAAGGAGAGGAGGAGCGATAAGAAGGGTGAGGAATTCTCTGCGATCAAACAGGCAGCAAGGTTTTTAACTCCAGTTTAAGTTGTGAAACACTAAAGGGAATATTTAACAACTGACTGCTCCCGAGTTATGTAACCTTTTAAAATAAAAAAAATACATTGTTCATCATTCCCAGACTGCAGTCACAACAATCACGTTAGGAAATCTTGATCACACCCGAGTCTGTTTACAAAATAAAATCGCACCCCTTAAAATAACATAGTAAACAGGGTTCAACAAATCCTATTACCCGACTGCCCGGGGCAGGTAAACCACATCTTTATTTTTTATAGGGTCATTTATTCAAACTATTCTGAAAATAAATGAAATATAGCGTTTTAAAACATGTATAGAGAGAATAAATCATCAAAATTTCCCCCTCCCCTGTAAAAAGGTTATGTCTTGCTGTCGTGTGGCAGGATCATTTCCTCCCTCCCTCTCGCTGCACGTCACGCAGAGTGAAGCTTTAACAACCGTAGTTTTTTCACACCCATTTCTCGGAGAAAAAACTTGTTTTTTATGTTTTGTTACCCACAGAGATGATAAAAAGATGTGGACGTTTGTTCAGTCATAAATCCATCTTGCTAATGTCGGCTTGTGCTCTGAGAGCGCAGAGCAGCAGCGGGTCAGTTCAACAGGCTCACTGTATGGCAGGCCGATGTTGCATTTATTTGTCTTCACCACGCTTACGTTCCAGTTATCTGAAATTGTTTTATGACTAAATTAAACAGATTAGTTGTTTATGATAAAATAGTGAAATGTTTATTTAATTTTTGTTTTGTTTTGTTTATTTTTTTACTTATTTTTTAAATTAGGAGATTTGTGTGTTGAAGTTGATTTTTGAAAATAAGAGGGACATATATAAGAGTTTTTCTTCACTCTGCACCCTTTTAATTCAGGGTAGGATGTACTTTTTTAATGCTGTACATAGATTGTTTTGTTTTTATGAATGAAAGAAACAAATAAATAGACATCTGTTAATATATTTTGACAAGGCAAAATGCCTATTTAAGATATCTCTAATTATATTCTGACTAGTATAAATAACATTAGATTTATTGTTAAGTTGTATGGAGACTCCAGTTCAAGATATCTTAAATGTAGCTGTAGATATGAGATATACTATATAAGATTCAATTAATGTAAATTTCAGACGTTTTCATGTTCTGTAAATTGTATTTAAAACAAAGCTGCTGRTGTTGATCAGTCTGTTTTATAAGCAGCCCTCCCAAGAGAAACACTGGAAAGGTCTACAAAAGTTTATTGAATATGTTTTTGATAAAACAATTGACTGACTGTGAGTGACTCAGTCTGCAATGTTTYCATCTGTTTAATCAGATGTCATATATTATGTACCTCTGTAGCCATGTTAATGTTTTTGTAGTACAAATACAGTACACGTTCTTATATTTTATCAAATTTTGAACTTCTTTGTTTSGGGCAGGTAACATTTTTCATCACCTGCCCGACGGGAGATTAAAAAAACAAATCTTGTCGAACCCTGATAGTAAAATGTAAAATGAACATGGTTAGACATAACTTCAGCTGCAGTCGCCATCTTGAACTGTGGTAACTATTAAATTAAAGTGTTGTATTGTTGTATATTCTCACACAGTTACTTTCTGAAAGTCGGGGAATGGATCATGAATGCACTGCATCAAGTGATAAATACAGAAACGTAACAAGTCACGTTTCAAAGCAGGGATCATTGCTCCTGCTGGTGTTCACCTGTTCTCTTTCTGGCAGAGAAAGGAGATGAACCTCCTGCTAAATTACTGGATGACCTGTTCCTGAAGACCAAAGCGGCTCCGTGTATTTACTGGCTTCCCCTCACTGAAGAGCAGGTCGGTCCCACGCACCTTTGTTTTCAGCACCTGGCTTGTTTTTAGATGCCGTACCTGAATCCCTCTCTGTCCTTCAGGCAACACAGAGGCTTTCAGAACGCGTAGACCGGCAGAAGGAGCGCGAGCGACGGCGCAAGGAGCAAGAGGAGGCGTCCAAAAAGCGCGACGAGGAGAAGAAGGAGCGGCTGAAGGGTCGAGAGAAAGACGGCGCCTCGGCGGTGGCGAGCGGCGCGCCCGCCGGTAGAGGAGCCGACGGAGACAGGGAGCGAGATCGGGTCCGAGACCGAGAAGGGGACAGGAGGAAGGACAGCAGCCACCGGTCCAAGCGACCCTCGCCGGGCGTGGGTGGCGGGCGGCGTTCTCACAGCCGTAGCAACCCCAGAGAGCGACGTCGCTGAGGACCGCTGGAGAGAGGGAGGCAGAGTGGCAGAGGACCAACAGGAAGTGACGAGGAACTGGAGCCGTGCCCCTCACCACCTGCCCCACCGGGCTTTAATGTATCCACTTTGGACGCCGGCGTTGTCTTCCATGAGTTTCTCCCTCCTTTTTAATGTTCAAAGAAATACTTAGAAAACCATCCGTCTAATTTTCATTTTTAGGAAGCAATTTTTAATTTTCCCCCATGTAGAGAGCAGCTCTCTCCGTCTCTGTGAAGTTTATTTTCTGTTGAGGAAAAGTAGGCGAGGACGGCTGTTTCCAGGCTTCATTTTGTCCCTGTGAGGTTTCTGAGTCGGTCTCATTATTTTAGTTCTGCGGCTGCACAGTTCCTTCCTCCTCTCAGCCCTGTAATAAAAGCAGTCTAAAATAGATCTGTGACTTCACATATTTTCTAGGGCCTCTTTTAATGTTCCACTCTTCAGCACTGAGATTTAAACTTATCTATGTTTATGCAATGAAAATGTCTCAACAACCCCTGCTTTTTTCTTTTATCAGTTTCGTTTTGAACTGTAATTATTTTTGTCATGGAGGGTTGTGTTGTGTTGCAAGTGAGTAATAAATTCTCACTTTAAAGATGCCAGCTGGTCTCTACTGTAACCAATAATAGTGCGATGATGGGAAGAAATGAGTTTGTATTTATGAGAGGACAGGAAATTTCTAAATGACTCCTCATAAAGGAGGTAAAAATCCAAAGTTTAACGGTCGCAAATTTTAATATTTTACCTTTTTGCTTTTTAAGTTTGATTTTGTTGCTTTTTATTCTCCTGCAAGTGCTGAATGTACAAAGAATTGAAGAAATAAACTGGTTTATCACTAATGGTTTAGTTTTATTAGGTGTGGGGGAAAAAATGGTGAAATCTAGAAACGTGTTAAAAGTTTATTTTATTGAAATCATGACCATTATTTGTAAGTACACAATGAACATATTTATAACCATCAAATTACAGCAATGTTCTTTTTTTTCTGTTTTCTCTTCAACTTGTACTTTTATGTAACAAATCTTTACAGTAAAGTCAAATTTAAGTGCAAAATGTTTGCTAGTTATACGTTTACAAAATATCCCAGCAAAATCCCTTGTTCTTCTACAGCAAACAGTAGCCACGTTAGGGTTAATAAAGCAGTAGTCTCTTTTGTTCCCTTTCAACTAGAGTACAGTAACAGTACAGCAGGATGTGTGACAAAGTGAAATGATGAATGAAATGTTTATCAGCAGGTTTATCTTGGGGGGGAAAAAACAAAAAGTCAAAACTGAACATTTCCGAGCGTACGAGTCGAGGCCGATCAGTGCGTGTTCTGCGGAGGAATGCTGTGTGTGGCGCACACTCTGTTCACGTGACACGAGTGGCAGAGGAGATGAGAGTCCAGAGGGAAGCACTGCGAGCCGGGCTTATCCGAGAGCTGCTTACCGCACTCCTGAGAGGGAAACGAGAGAAAGCGCTCAGATAAGGACAGGAACGCAGGGGGAAGTGAAGTGAGGTCAGTCGTTGGAAAAGAAAAAAAAAAACTACATTCTAACAAAACAGTCAAGAAGCCTTGAGGTGTGAAGATAACTCGCCTCGCAGTGGTAGCACTCAAAGTGGTAGTCCTTGTTCATGGACACGACCCTGAGGATCTCCTCGCTGCCCTGAGACACAAAACACATTTTCATTTCATCTGGAGCACTTTCAACCATTAAAGAAGTCAAATCTCTTTCATCTCACTTGGTTTGAAAAACACTTTTCTTCTTACAAGTAATAAACGCAGCTCGTAAGAAAAAAAAGGTCAAATCAATTAGATTTGGTCTGCGTTTCACCTGTAAATAAACCAAATTAAATTCACATTTATTGCACTCTGCATCTTTTGAAACCACATTAAAGTGAGCTTTYATCCAAGATGGCAGCCATGTTCAGGACATTTCTTTTCCCCACTTTTGTGAAATAAAAGGGTGTCCTGTAACTTTTGACTCACTCTGGGTATTGGGGTTTACAACAAAGTACTGTGCTTGTTTTTTTTTGTTTGTTTTTTATTTTTTTGTAAAAATTAATAAAATAATCAACAAATCACTGACCTCAGTAGGTAAGATGGGTTGCAGGCAGGCAGCGCACTTCGGTGCAAAAGTCCTACAGTTTGACAAGAACAAATGTTTTACTGTAGAAATATACATTAAAAAACGTTTACTCAAACTGAGAAAGCTCAGAACAAAAAGCATAGACATTTTTTAAACGTTTTTGATTCAACTAGGTTTACTAAGTCTTAGAAAAAGAGCGTATTTGCAGCATCTCTGCCGCATTAAACTAGAAAAATCTTACGTTTGCTTATGATCACATTAACGTTTGAACCGTTTAAACGGCGTTTTGAGAACAGTTCCCAGARCGAAGCGGGAAAGTTCAGCCTCACTTGTTGTAGTCTGCGACGCAGTAGATGTTGCTGTTCTGGTCCACGGTGAAAGGCACGCCATCCAGAGCCTTGGAGCAGACCACACAGCGGAAACAACCGGGATGGTACGAGTTTCCAACAGCCTGCAGGATCTGAGAGCACAAAGCAGTTATACAAAAAGCCTTTAACGCTACACCGGCTTACAAGTCGTGCGTTTGCTTTCTTTTTCTGTTTGACATTCGATATGTGCACATTTTGATTTACTGTTTCTACGCAAACTTGTTAAAGCGTTTCTATCCTTCACTCCTTCACAATTACTATCCCTACGTCGACATTCCACAAGACATTTTATTTTTAGCTTCTGTCTTTGGTCGCTACAGACATTTAAATGTTTGTTGCCAACAGTTTATAACAATGTGAAAACAAATCTTCAAGTAATGGGCTGCAATTTGCTACAAAGCCCCCAAAAAGTCACACCTAGCTGTTAATTTTCAGGAAAACACAGACCTCTTTTATTTACTTTGTGCTTCGAAACATTGCAGCTTCATTTGTAGTAAAGGCACCGTGAGAAGCATGAAACTTTTTAAATTGAGACTGATGAACAACTTTCTTTTTATACTGTGGCATTCATATATGGTAAAAAAAATCACTGCAGAGCCTAATTCTTTATTTATCAAAGACCCAAGACAAACATTCCAGTGACAATCTTATCGTGGGAAAACCAAAGAAGTGCCAACAGAAAAGACGTCACGGCATTTTCTCAATCCTCCGGAGGGCCCTTTGAAGGAATTACGGGAAACATAACATGTGAAATAACTAACATAAATAAATGAAATAAAACTACCTGAGCCTAGATCAGAGCATGTATGGGTGTTTGATTTAAAGCTGAGGAAAGTTTGGCCTCACCTGTTCGAGAATCAGGTGGCCACACACGCTACACTTCTCCGCAGCTGCCTGGAATCCTGAAAACTGTAATTAAAACAGAGATTATGGAACGACACAAACAAGCCTCCGACTCTGAACGTGTGTTTGTGTGTGTGTGTGTGTGTGTGTGTGTGTGTGTAGCAAACAGATGACAAAACATGTCTTGACCTCAACTCTTACCATGTAATCCTCTTTACAGTACACAGAACCATTGACGTTGTAGAAGTCCTTGTTTCTCAGGGTGCGTCCTGCGGAGGATCAGAGGAACCAGACTCAGTGTTTTAACACATTTTGGTGTGTGTGTGTGTGTGTGTGTGTGTGTGTGTGTGTGTGTGTGTGTGTGTGTGTTCGCACTCACCGCAGGACACACAGGTGAAGCAGCGAGTGTGATAGAGGTTGTCCAGAGCTTGGCAGGCGTTGTCCGCCCCGTACACGCCTTTCCCACACTTCACACAAGCACCTGTCAGCAACACACCAAACACAGCGCACACACACACACACACACACACAAACATACGTTCAGTGAGGCGGCTCTTCTACCACTTTGTTTACAACGCATTCCAGAAGGATGCGTCTGAAATCCACCCCCACGCAGACTGTCAACACTTGTAAATCCTCTCGTTCGCAACACCGAGGGGATTTTCACACCATTAAAACTGAAGACGCATGTTTGCTCATCCAGTCAAGCGTCTGTTATTAAAGGGGAAACTCCACCGGATCTGACTTCTTTTTTTTGCCACACTCTTCTCTCTTTTGGCAGCCATCTTTCCAGAAAATAGAAGCCTCTTTCTTCCAAGAGTTTGGAGCTTAGACATGCCTTTAAGTTTTGTTCCAACCCTACATTTAGAGCAATTTGGCTACTATAATGATAGGGACTACTTTTTGTAAAATAGGAGCCACATCTTCCCAGAAAACCAACAACTGATCTTTTGCCACTTCCTTCAAATGATCATACAGTGATACGTTTTCTCCAATCAGTTTAACTGAAGTTAAAATGAGAGTTCTGATTTTTTGAAGTGTGGTTTCTAAGGAAAAGTTAGGAACAATTAAGATGTTGCAATTTATTGTACATTATTTTATTGTTCACCTCCTCGGCCTCCTTTGTACCCACCCATCTTAACTGCCCCCAAGTTGAATTTACTGGAATACAACTAAATGAATAGAGTCAGATCTGGATCAGTGTTTTAATAAATAATAATCAGCTAAACATTTGTTTTTACACCTGAACTAGTCTTGGATGTTTTCTGTCATGAGGATGGATCTAGAATTTACAAAACTAAACGGAGCTGGCTTTGAGACACYTTCATGACTCCAGTGCCACTATTCCAAAATAAAATATGACCAGTGGTGGGCACAATTCTGCTAATCTGCTAATAGTGGAACTAGCTTTTCATTTAGCGGATATAGCATATTTGCTAACTTTAGAAACCGTTACCGGATGGATTAGCTTCCGATAATTTAGGCTAAACTAATTTTAGGTCCGCTATAAAATTCACAAGTGTTAAACGTCTAATTTTATGCCACTTATCCTGAATTAAATAAAAACTATTCCAGCTTAGAGGCAGTGCTTGTGGCTGCCTGATCCGTACTGTCCAGGAAACATTATTTTTAGCATGTAGCATTTTGCTAAACCAGGGTTCCTACAGCTTAATGCAAGTTATATTTAAGACTTTTTAAGACCTCTCTAATGCCACCTGAAATTATATTTAAGACCCAATTCACAATAAATAAAATCTGGGGGGAAAAAAACAGTTGGTGACAATTTTACCCAAATGTATATTTTAACACAGAACAACTAGCTATGAGG